CTGCTTTCCACATAAGTCTTCACTTCCTTGCCTAAACTGGAGAGTTGCCATGTTCCTGTATGGTATCACCAGCCATGATCCACTAGCAGGTGCATTGGGATGGTGGGTATAGCGAAACCTGCATGTTGGGGTTTAAAAAAATGCTATGGGTTCTTTCCTCAGAAAAAATCCTGTTGAGACGAAGGTTTGGGGAATACAGCCCAGGTCAGAATAGTGATTTATGTCTTTGAGAGGAACACAACTAGGGTCCTGTCCTGTACAGATGCTTAGTGCTTCTTGAAAGGTCCTGAATGCCTTCAAACTGCCACTGAAATCAGAGGAACTGAAGACACTCTGCACCTCATAGAATCTGGCCTGTGTTAGAATTTTAATTCTAACAAAGTATGATTTTGAACATAATCAGTGTTTTTACTTCCACTTACCACAAGCATTTAACTAAGTGAAAAATTTGATTGGAATGATTTTGCTTGCATGAATTTAAAGGCATCTTTTAAAATGATCTTCATTTGTTTCTAAAAGGTTGCAAAGTGTTTTAAAATTATATGGTTTGTCCTTTTAAAAATAATTTCTGCTAAATGCTGCACAAATGTAGTGGGATACTCTGTTATAATTTTATTGTAGGAAGCCTTTGTATTAGGGATAATAGAGTGAATTTAATTCCTTTTTAAAAGAAACAAATGTACTCATGTAGGCTCACCAAAATATGCTTACAATGCAGTGGTGACACATGTTAATTGTATCAATAGTCCATGATTAAATAATGTCTAAGACATGTGATAGATAGACTTTTATAAAATAAATTATACCTAGATATTCTGTTAATGATTTGTGATCTTTAACTTCCCACAATGCTAAAGATATTTATTCTTAACCATACTGTATCTCCCTAATTGGCATTTCCCCCCTTATTTAATTTCCTTTAAAACCAGCAAGAATGCTTCTTTGAAGTCTGATCTCATTGTTTGCTCCCCCCCCCCAAAGTCTGAGGTCAAACTTTTCCTAATTTTACCTATTGCTGTTCATCCACTAGTCGTATTTAAAAATAAAGCAAGCGCCAAATCCTAATACAGTACAGTTAGCTTACTGCACACAGAGAGATAGATGCTTCTCTTGATATGTGTGCATAACTCTTATTAGTGATAATGGGAGTTATGTATGTATGCACATCACAGGAAGGATATTTTCATAAACATTCATTTGTTTGATATGGTTTGTATCATATAAATCAGAAAAGTTTACGCTTTATCTTTATTAAACTATGCAGAGCAGCTCAATGAAATCACACATGCTATATGCCAGTTCTTAGCATTGTCACCAATGATTAATTTTGGTGAATGGCTCAGTTAAACTGCCTGCAGCACAAGATCTTTGAGTTATTGTGTTAAGTTGTTAGTGCTTGGAATATTTACTTATGGTAGATCTAATAGAATTGGATTTGATCCTGAATACATTTAGTGTTGTGAGTATTCTGCCAGTTACAAAATACAATCTGTGGTTAGTGGATGTTTCAAGGGATTATTAATTACTGTAATATGGGGCTTCTCACTTGTAGGTCACTAGCTTGAATTTGACCCAAGTGGGTACTGACTGAAAGTCATCACTGTTTGGTGGTCTGTGTAAAACAAGTTGTTGATCTCTGTCCAGATCTTATTAGAAAGGTGTTCTCACTGTTAGAACATCATCACAATAGGCAATCTTGTAGGCAGTCTCATCAAAGCAGTCAGGGCAGGGCCGGCTCCAGGGTTTTGGCCGCCCCAAGCAGCCAAAACCAAAAAAAAAAAAAAAAAGCCGCGCTCGCGATCTAAAAAAAGCCGCGATCGCGTTCTGCGGCGGCAATTCGGCGGGAGGTCCTTCACTCCCAGGCGGAGTGAGGGACCGTCTGCCGAATTGCCGCCGAATACCTGGAACTGCCGCCCCTGTCCGGAACGGCCGCCCCAAGCACCTGCTTGAGAAGCTGGTGCCTGGAGCCGGCCCTGAGTCAGGGATTGACTAAACATGGAGACTGAACAAATCGCACATGCCTAGAGATATACCTGTAGGCTGAGCCACCTTGCCCTGCTGGTGCCTGTGATATAGAATTCTGTGGACAGGCAGAAAATACATCCTGCCGGGGTTGTCAGTCTGGCATATTTCACAAGCAATATATTGAGTAAAATGAAAGTAGAATGTCTTTTCTTTGATATGCTTAGTATGGGGCTGTAAGAGGTTAGCTGGGGCTCAACCCTCTCTGGGGTGGCGGGGAGCCACACCGGCTCACTACACATAGTTGATGTTCAGGGGGAATTAGTCCGGCCGCGGGAGTCTCCCTCAGCAGCTTTTGCGGTAACTGGAATAAGCACCGTGAGCCCAGGTCCTGGGTCAGGGCGGGGCAACAATGAGTCAGGTGCTCAGGCCCTCAGGCAGGGCTGAGCAACCACAGTACAATAGAAATAAACCCAGGCCCTGGGTCAGGGCGGGGCAACAGTGAGCCAGGTGCTCAAACCCTCCGGCAGGAGCTGAGCAGTGGCAGTATAAACAGTATCAATAAGCCCAGGCCCTGTGGCAGGGCGGGGCAATAATGATGAGTCAGGAGCTCAGGCAGGGCTGAGCAGAGACAGTACAAGCAATAGGGAGGCCAGGCCCTAGGTCAGGGTGGGGCAACAATGAGTCAGGGGCTCAGGCCCTCAGGCAGGGCTGAGCAGTAACAGTACAAACAGTAATGAGCCAGGAGCTCAGGCAGGGCTGAGCAATGATAGTAGGCCCAAGCCTCCAAAAGGCCTGGGAGAGGGGGAGTCTGCCACCCGTGAGTTGGGTGGTGGGGGGGACACAGGCCCTCCCACTCCATTGCGTCCCAGCCCGGGGCCCTAGCAGCGGCAGAAGACCTGCTACTGTGTCAGTGGGGATTCTGGCCCCAAAACACTGACATGGGCTCTGGCAGTGCTGCAGCCAGACTAGGGTTAGTTGCCCCCAGGCTACTTCCAGACTCCCCCTCGGGTAGTACCTGGGTCAGGGTGTTGTCCTCTGGGGGGTCCAGCACCATGGGTTCCTCGGGGTAGTGGGCGAGCAGCAGGCCCAGCAACTCCTCTGGGTAGCGAGCGCAGGGCAAGTCAGGCCAGTCCTGGCCTACACATTGGGCCGCAGGGGTTTCCCAGTCGCGGGCTAGGCTGGACACTGGCCTATACTGACACTAGAAAAGGTTCAGAGAAGAGCAACTAAAATGATTAGGGGTTTGGAAAGGGTCCCATATGAGGAGAGATTAAAAAGGCTAGGACTTTTCAGCTTGGAAAAGAGGAGACTAAGGGGGGATATGATAGAGGTATATAAAATTATGAGTGATGTGGAGAAAGTAGATAAGGAAAAGTTATTTACTTATTCCCATAATACAAGAACTAGGGGTCACCAAATGAAATTAATAGGCAGCAGGTTTAAAACAAATAAAAGGAAGTTCTTCTTCACACAGTGCACAGTCAGCTTGTGGAACTCCTTTCCTGAGGAGATTGTGAAGGCTAGGACTATAACAGCATTTAAAAGAGAACTGGATAAATTCATGGAGGTTAAGTCCATTAATGGCTATTAGCCAGGATGGGTAAGGAATGGTGTCCCTAGCCTCTGTTTGTCAGAGGGTGGAGATGGATAACAGGAGAGAGATCACTTGATCATTGCCTGTTAGATTCACTCCCTCTGGGGCACCTGGCATTGGCCACTGTCGGTAGACAGGATACTGGCTAGATGGATCTTTGGTCTGACCCAGTACGGCCGTTCTTATGTTCTTATGGCCTCCCCGGCGGCTGGCCCTCCAGTGAGCTCTGAGGCCGAGCCTTTATACTTCCGGGTCGCCGCCTGACCCTCTGAGGGGTGGGCTCAGAGCTCCCTAGCTCCGCCCACTCCGGCCTCCGGATGGGCTTGTCCCTCTCCGGGGCGGCGGGGAGCCACACCGCCTCACTACAGGGGCAAATGCTCCTCTTTGCTTTAGTGAGAAGAGTGGACCAAGCAGCAGTGGATCTAAGTGAGGGTGAGGCAGTAGCAGCTCTGTGTCAGTCACCAGAAGGTTTGGGGGCTGGGAGGTTGCTGGGATAGGGTAGTGATGGAGGAGAAAATGGCTACAATGTAGCATCTCATCCCTCCCCGCAGCCCTATGGGGATACCTTGTGTAACTACTGACCTCATCAGCATTAACTTATACTAGGTCTCCCTTCACTGAGCACAGCCAAAACCCACTTTCAGAGAGCTTTGGAGGGCAATGGCCAGTGTGCTAAACTCATGGGAGCATGATTTCTTTAGGAGCTGGATGCCATGGAATTCAGTGGGTAGGAGGTAACACAGAGGTACTTTGGTACAGCCCTTGAGATCTCTGCAGATCTCTGGAAAATAATGTGTTTTTTTGGGGGGGGGGGTAAATCTGACTGTCACATGGAAACAATCAGATGGAAACTGTGGGTCTGGTTCCATTGAAGTTGCTGGCAAGATTCCTATTGACTTGAGTGGTGCAGAATTGAGCCTTGTGTGAGTGCAAACTTGATTTCCAGTATCTTATGTGGAAATAGCCTTGGCATGGAATGGTTTAGCCCAGAGCACATAAGTAATTTGACTAGGTTACATGAGTTGTTTTAAAAGACTGCTTGGGTTATAGTTTCTAAAGCTGATTTAATAAATATAGCATATTCTAACTTAAGAAAATACTGCTGTTTTGCTTCTAAAAGAAAATGTTATATGTGTAAACCTCTCCTCCCACACATGTCACAAAGTGGGAAAAATATAAATTTAAAATACAAGAAAACAAAATTTTTCTGCATGCATATGGTAGATAAAAACATGTCTTTTTCATTAATTCCCAAGTTCATGGAAATGTAATTGACAATTTTCTGATGTAAAATTACAAAAAGTTGTCATTCATTTTTGAGAAGTCAAACTCCACAGGGAAGGAAAACTAAGGATTGTTTTCCATTGCAAACCTAACCGATTGTTTTGTTTTCTATTAGCCGTCCTCGGTGTCATTGAATTCTTTTCTTTGCATTCTTCAGGTTCTTTCCACACATGAACACAAGGAGAGTTTCCAGTTAAAGGAAAAGTGACTAGTGCAGAGGACGACATGACCACCATGAAGGGAAACGGTCTGGTTGCATTGCTGGTTGCAGGTTTGGGAGTCATAGGAATCTTAGTGTCAGCAGCTACAGAAGATTCCCAGTGCCAGCGAGCTGAGCACCCTGTTATAATGTATAAAGGTAAGGAGCATTTCCCCTCCTCTTCCAAACAAATTTTCCAAAAAAGGGAAAAAATACCACACAAGCCCTTTACTTCTGGAAGTTTTTGTTTATATCACACATTGGCACCAAGTGAAAATGAATGTATTGCCCTCTGTGTTATACCAATAAAAATTAGCAGGATCTTATTAAAGGGACAAGATAAAGATGCCACATTTATTATGATAACAATTTGATTTATGACCAATAACTAATATCTTAATCCTTATACACACACATTATACCTAATACCTATACACACACACACACACACACACACACTCTCACACATCCATCAGATGTTCTGCAGCTGCTGCATAGTTACCAGTCCTGCTTGAGTCTGTGGCTTGAGTTTGCAGCTTGGGTTCGTAGCTTGTGGCGGCTAACTGGTAAGGAAAGCCGGGCACAAGGACGAGCTGGGTCTCTGTTGGGCATGCACCGATGCCCTTCCATGTTGGCAGCAGAATGTTACCCTCCTCCAAAGTTTTCCATCTCACCCATCCTTTTTGTAGGCTTTAGTTTGAATCCAGAGTCTATAGGTCTTGCTGTGTCACGCTGCCTTCAGGTTTGGTGATTGATCACCCGTCAATTGCAGACATGACTTTCAGCCTCGGACCGGGCTTTGATCTTTCTTTTATTGTACCTTTTCTTTTTAGGGTGGATTTTTCTTACTTTGTTAGGGCTCTTGTCTGCATCTTCAGCCATTGGTGTTTGAACTCTATTTAATCAGGACAGGCTGGGGCTGGAGGTTGATTCCATCATCCATACATACCTCATTCACACATCTAAACTAAACTAATAAGATTACAGCAGGGTTTGCAAAAATGAAGGTTGCAGCAAGCCCTTACAAAATGGAGTAAGCATTTTAAAATGGGGTTTGAATTACAATATGGCAAACAGTGAACAGAAGTTACAATATAGACAAGCATAATGGATAGCAAACAGTGAACAGAAGTTACACTGTAGGCAAGTGTAATAAATGGTGAACAGAAGTTACAATACTGAAACAGTGCAAGTCTCAGTGATTTAAGCAGGAATTGGATTGATAGTGAAACTTACAAAGGCAGCTGACTGAACAGCTATGGCTCTTAACAAGCATCTTAACTGTTAATTAGCCAGTTATTGGGGTAACCGGTTTTATGAATGAATATTGTTTCATTCATAAAACTTTACTTATGAAGTTACATTAATAAAGTAAACAATTAAAAACAATTTCATTCATGAGTCCTACATCTGCCTGGTTGCCTATCAATATTTGTCCAGAAATCAACAGACAGTTTGATTGATTGTACAACTGGCAATTTCAGCTCAGAAGAGTCCCAGGTCTGGAACGATAGCAATATTAAAGGTCGAGAAGGATTAAAGTGCATTGGCGGAGCTCTGTGTTGAAACTTGCCCAGTGTTTGACCTCACTATACTATACTGTTTTCAGTGCAGTTAGTCTCTCTCTTTCATGAACTCTGAACTGACTCACACGGTTTAAAAATGAAATAAAATAAAAAGCTTTACACTGCTACTCAGCATGGGCACTGAGTGATGCCACAAACTATTAAACCAGCAGAACATGTATCTGACCATCCTCAGCTGCAGGATGAACACTGCTGCATTCTCATCAGTCAGTGTCAGGCCTCTAGAATACCTCTGCTGTTCTTAAAATCTGCCATGCTGTCTGGGAGATCTTATAGGACAGCTCTAATTCTGAATTAAATAGACAGAGGCAGGGAGCAGAAACGAGATGAAATACATCTCAGACAGGTGTACAAACTTTGCTCACAGTTCTCCTCTGAATGTGTAATTGAAGGTGCTAACAGCATTAGATCTCTCATTTTCATTTGTAATTAAAACACAAAATGGATGAGCACGCCTTCTGTAAATACTGCACTTTCTGTCCTTTTGGTTACCACTGCAATCATTACAGTGCTGAGAGTGACATATGGATAAATCAGAATACATGTTAATCCGATCTTACTCTCCCTTTCACCCTGCAGTAGGGAGGATGCTGGTTGCATTGCTTTTTCAGTATAGAAGTAGTATTTGCCACGATAGGATCCAAGCTAGCGGAGTTGTCAGCACTCAACATGATCCACTGGGTTGAGCCCTTGCATTGTTTGCAAAATTGTTTACTTGATTACCTACTTTCTGGATTCATGGGGTGATTGCTATTAAAACCTCCTGCTCATTAGGCTTACGACTTAACTCAGCTTTTATTGTAATTCTTAACAAAATGACTGCACCAGGAAAAAAATGGCAGCCCTTGTGGACAACAAGTTTTACAATTAGCTTATTGAGTTTCATCACCATCTGAATTTAATTTTAAATATTTGTTGTCTAAAGTAATTATGCTAATAATACCATACAATCTTTATAAATTGGGACCAATGACCCTGTTTTGGAAAAACAAATTTTGTTATAGAAATTGCTTTTGGAAAATTTGGAGCAATTAATCTTTGTGTGTTGAACAGAAAGTGGCTTTTGACAGGCTTTATTAGTACAGTTGCTAAGTATAATGAATCAAATGATGAATTTTCATAAATAATTATTATAAATTATTGTTAACATCTGATGTAATGTATTTATTCCGGTAAGATATAGAGGAAATGATTCTGAAATCCAGTATTTGAAGGTGATTCAAAGAAATTAATTTTAACATCAAATTGTACCTTATTCAATGGGACTATATAAGGAGTAAAGTACTACTCAGTATGAGTGAGTATCAGAATCTAGCTATATTACAAGTGGAGCTTGTAGCACCGCTTGTAGATAAGGTTACCTGAGCCTTTCCATTATATAGTTGCCAACTCTTGTAAATTCATAATTTGTGACATGATTTTAGTCCCAGTCTTGCATCATCTCCAGAAGGACCAGCTTTCAAGTGATTTCCAGCCCTGCCAGGGGGCAAACTCCATCTGATTGACTGTTTTCTCCATTTCCCTGCCTCTTGGGCAAGAAGAGCCAATCAGGGCTGCTGCAGGAGGCAAGCAGATCTCTCTGCTCTCCTCTCAGAAGTGAAAGGAGTTTTTGGATAGGAGAGAAGGCGAAGGAGCAGTTGACCCCATTCTGACAGGAGGAAAGGGGGCATGAGGTAGCAGAAAGCACTGAACAGTTCAGGGGGCTCCACTCTTTTGTCCCCCCTCTCCTCCTGTGAATAATGGGTCAGTCTGCTCTCTGCTTCTCCCACCCTTGCTTCCAGGCCCAGCTCCATTCCTGCGACACCACGGCAAGCCTGGGAAGGAGAAAAGGACTTTCCTGCAACTGTCCCCCAGGTCAGGTGGGCTGGGTGTGAAGAATACTGGGAGCGGCAAGAAGAAAAGAAGTGCACTGCACAAGTCTAAGGGAAAAAAGAGTTCAGGAGAGCTGGCAGTTTTTTAAAGAGACATCATTTAGGGCACAAAAGCAAACTATCCCAGTGCATAGGAAAGTATGGTATGATACCATCCTGGCTTAACAAGGAGATCTTCTGTGACTTCAAACTCAAAAAAAGTCATGCAAAAAGTAGGAACTAGGTCAAATTATGAAAGATGAATATGAAAAAACCCACAAACATGTAGGAAAAAAGTTAGAAAAGCCAAAGCACAAAATGTACTTAAACTAGCTAGGGACATAAAGGGTAACAAGAAAACATTTTGCAAATACATTGGAAGCAAGAGGAATACCGAGGACGGGGTAGGCTCATTACTCAATGAGGAGGGAAAGACAGTAACAGAAAATGCAGATGGCTGAAGGGTTAAATGCCTTTTTTTGTTTCAGTTTTCACCAAAAAGGATAGCAGTAATTGGAAAACTGACATAGTAAACATCAGTGTAAATTGGGTAGGATCTGAGGCTAAAGTGGGGGAAAGAACAAGTTAAGAATTATTTAGACAAGTTAAATGTCTTCAAGTCAGCAGGTCCTGATGAAATACACCCCTAGAATACTTAAGGAACTGGCTGGTGAGATCTCTGATCCACTAGTGATTATCTCTGAGAACTCATGGAGGACGGGAGAGATCCCAGAGGAGTGGAAAAGGGCAAATATGGTACCTATCCATAAAAAGGGGAATCAAGACAACCCAGGGAATTATAGGCCAGTCAGCCTAACTTTGTTACTCGGAAAGATAATGGAGCAAATAATCACACAATCAATATGTGAGCACCTAGAAGATAAAAAGGTGATACCTAACAGACAAGATGGATTTGTCATGAACAAATCATGTCAAACCAACCTATATGCTTCTTTTATGGGGTAACAAGCTTTGTGGATAGGGGAGAAGCAGTAAATGTGATATGTCTCAACTTTAGTAAAGCTTTTGATACTGTCTCACATGACCTTCTCATTAGCAAATTAGGGAAATATAGCCTAGATGAACCTATTGTGAGGTGGGTCCATAACTGGTTGGAAAACCATTCTCAGATAGTTGTTATCAATGGTTCACAGTGAAGCCGGAAGGGCATATTGAGTGGGGTCCCTTTAGGGATCTGTCCTGGGTCTGGTTCCATTCAATATCTTCATAAATGGTTTGGATAATGGCTTATAATGTTTGCAGTTGATACTAAGTTGGGAGTTGTTGAGTATTTTTTGGGACAGGGTTCAAATCCAAAATGATCTTGACAAACTTGAGAAATGATCTGAAATAAATAGGATGGAATTCAATGTGGCCAAATGCAAATTACTACATGTAGGAAGTAATAATCAGTCCCATAAATACAAAGTGGGAAATGACTTCCTAGAAACGAGAACTGCAGAAGAGGATCTGGGGGTGATAGTGGATCACAAATGAAATATGACTCCACAATGTAATACTGTTGCAAAACAAGCAAACATCATTCTAGGATGTATTAACAGGAGTGTTGTAAACAAGACACGAGAAGTAATTCTTCTACTCTTCTCTGCACTGATAAGGCCTCAGCTAGAGTACTGTGTCCAGTTCTGGGCACCACACTTTGGGAAAGATGTGGACAGACTGAAGAATGTCCAGAGGAGAGCAACAAAAATTATTAAAGATC